TGGCAGAAGCAAACAATTTGCCACGGCTCAAAACAGTGGCACCTCAAATATATCTGCCATACATTCGCATTGGGTATTTAATGTGCATTATATAAACTTTTACTCTGGTTTATTAACTACAATTAGTTTTGCTATTATTGAAAGTGTGTTCTCTCTTGTGTTACCAGTCAAAACAAAAGCTTGAAATAGAACACAGCTGCAACTTCTTGAAACAGTAGTAAGAATAACAACAGAGCTGCTGCTATTTAATAAATGTTTCAAGAACTTGACTACAAGCCCCCCCCCCCCCCCCCCCAGATGTTAAAGAACAGAGTGTAGAGTGCTGGTTTCAGTGGAGACGATAGTGATGACCTTAATTTGGAGCATTTCTCATGATGTCAGCAGGACTGTAATTAGGCTTGATGATGTCCTAAGCAATACAAAATCATGATGCCCCTACTGCCTTAAAATACACCAGATAATCTCAGCAAACTATAATATGTGAAACAATACAAATTACAAATCCTTCCTGTAAGTAAATAGGCGTAAATATAAAATAACAAATATAAACTCTGAGAACACAACATATCACAGTAATAATCGTGAGCGTTAAACAGGATGCTGTTGAAACAATTATTACTGCTACTACTAATGTTGAAATAAGAATCGACATCACAGCACTTGGGACACCTCATAAGTGCTCCTTCCCATATTCAGCAGCAAGAATGAGTGCTAATTCTAATGGCACCAGTAACTACTAGCATTACAAAAACAACTATTACTACCACCACTGCTACTACTACTAATGCCTACAAATAAGGAAAAGAGAAAAATATTGTTCTTTACTTTTTATTAAAATAAATAACAAAGAATATGTTTGCAGTCACAAAATACTCTAAAAGGATGTTAGTCACAATTAAACACATGTTATATACTTGTTTCATTTAAGGATTTTGTGTTCCATCTTATTTTATTTACTAGCAATATTTGTACGAGAGGGGGACATTTACTGATTTCCCCTTGCAAAGGCCGTCAGCTGTAGTTTATTTAGCTTACACTGTAATCAAGCACTGAATGTGAGGATACATTCGCAATGGTTTTCCTCTGGCTTTTTAGGCCCTTTATGCTAGTGTTTGGCCGATTGTCTAAACGCAGATCTGGCCACGGTGTGGCGGACTTCCCGTGGTCTCACGTGCCGGGCTGCCTATGATGTGTTTTTACCCCCAGATCTGGTTTTTTTTGACACCTTGGGTTTAAATTTTGAAATCAGGGTTTAAAAAAAAATATCCTAATATAAAAGTGGGTAAATATTTTATTGTTGTGTATTGTTTAACAATCGATGTTTTTTTTTAAATTTTGTTTTTTGTTCTTTGCTTAAATATTGCTTGGGTTTTTGTTTAGCTTAGCTAGGTTTAAAAACAAAATCCCATTGGCAGCCCTGGCCACGTGTGAGCTGCGGGCAGACAACCCAACCACAACACACAGCAGACGGCGGCCTGACTCCATCGACACGACGTGCTGCTGCTTCTGTTTCCTCGCACCAGTCTCTAGTTTCACTAGTTTGTTGTCACAGCTAGCTGTCTTGGTGTGTACATGCGGACTTGTAGGCTAATTTAGTCTTTAGAAAATAAAGCTGGTGTTGAAACTGCAGTGGGGTTTGTGTGTGTTACAATCCTGCCATAATCAACGTTATGTTTGGTGTTTAGTTTAGACTTTAGTGAGCAGTGTTTTGGTAGGCAGTTTTCACTTTAAGCAGAAGGCGTGCCTAATCTTGGACCATAGTGCTCCCAGTTGATAAGAACATCACGATTTTTACGGAAAACTGTTTCTACTGTTGTAGGTAGGGACTGGAGAATTCCATTGTGTTTGTTGTTTCCCCGGGATCGTGTGTGCAAAGTCAGCTAGCGGCTCCATATATTTCCTTACCAAGGTAAGTAAGTGTTGTTATTTGTTTAGAGTTTAAACCGTCAAACAGTATCAGTAAGTTTTTTTTAGTTTTTATGAAAGATCTTCGATGGTATTCAGTATTGAATATCTGATAATTATATTGCCCTTTTGCATGGTTACATTGAGATATTATATTCTAATGAACACTCGTCCGTTTGTGAGTTAGTTAACACGTCCTGCCTTTATGCTTACTTTAATAGCTGAATTTAATTACTGTGTCACATGTCGTCCACGTGCTACCCAGATCATCTTTAGCTTGGCTTGCCTTGTACCCAGCCCTGTCAAAAAGCTACCAAAAACAACTAATAGTTGAATTGGGGGGAGATAATCGTCATACAGTTCAAAATACAACTCAAAAACTAGATTCCGACGAGTGTTTATTTAATAAATTATTTAATTTACTGTAAAATAATGGTGACCATTCCACACATTAAGGCAGAGTGATAATTAAATTTAATAATGTTTAGTGCTACCTTCCTTTATCTTTTTTAGGATGCGGATGCGGTTATGCTAACAAACAGATCATGTTAATTTGTTTTAAATGCACACCATTGTTACTGGAGACCTCAGAATCAAACTTACATTCAGTCTCAGCTGGGAGACAAGCATAGTATATTATTATTAGGCTCTCCTGTCAACTAACTACGGCCGGTTAGTCGGAGTTCTGTCCCTTGGCTTAAACACCCTAACAAAACTGCCTACTCTCAGCTGAGTAAAGTAATTCTGTGCAAGCAATGCTCACCCTTTTGCACTGCATGCCTGTCTCAGACGTGTCTACAAAACTACCTCTATACCAGTAAACAAACATCCATTGGTTGATTGACTTCAGTTACATCTATATATATAAAAATCAATGTTTGTGTGTTTGTTTGCCCCCCTATTAGTATTAGACTCGGAAACTACTGAACCGATTTAGCTGAAATTTTCAGGATATGTTTGTTTTGATACCGGATGTTGAACCATCATGGTTTGAAATTCAACCTGTCACTGTTAGAGATACGTGACCACAATTTAAGCAATAATATTCTAAACTGATATTTATAATTTTAGTGATTTCTAATTATAGCCACGTTAGTAATTGCGCATTCGCCAGCGAGTTACGTGCAGCCAACGCCTTCTCTAATACATAGAGTAGGTCGTGGTGCAGCAAACAATACTATCTCTATATTTGCCACAATAACCATATTAAACACGATAACTATGCCACAGCAACGCGTGGCGGGTACAGCTAGTTCACTTAAATAAATATCAGTTATTGTAACTGACACAGAGTATGTTGAGAAAAATGGAGACACTGTATATTCTGTGTGTTATTCTATGCAAGCGATGCCTGCCACATTGCATGGAGCATGCCTGTCTCAGAGCAAGGGAAAGGCCCATGACTACATGACCTTTTGACATTGTCACACTTATGCACAAGCTACTACTGTTTGTGGTAGACAGACGCAGAGATAAAAATCAGTCTTCCTCATTAAAATATTGATTGATCCATGTGTGCACTGTAGCAAGTATGCACCAGCTGTTTTGTTTAGATCATGTGTGTCCATCTAGTCACTGAATTTAAGTAATCTGTAAGCCTAATTGTTAAATTTGGCTCCATCACTGTCAATTTTCTTTAGATTTGGAGCATCAGCCCATGTTCAGACAACTAAAGCATAAATTAAACAGTGCCTGTTGTGCAGTGAGTGATTTTGGTCACAGACATAAGCCTTATAAGGATGAGTTCAGGGGGTTCTGCTGAGTGTTGTCACATCTGTTCTAGTTTTAGGAAATGCAAGACCTCTAGCAAACATGACCGATTGTCACAGGTATGGAACACGACCTTCTGATCCGCATACGGCAAAGTCCTAGGTAACAGGTAATTTCTGGAACTGTCTGGGGAGGAAAGGCAGGGAACTGGCCATTGTACCCTGAATTGCATCGCCTATGTATTTAATGTGTAATGAAATATAGGCAGAAAGGAGTTAAATGAACAAAGCATACATTTCAGACCACCAACAAGGCATACTAATCCATCACTGTGTGACATGACAGATATGGGTGATTAGAAAGCTGGCCTGGCCAGCGATACAGAACATCTGCACGATGACCAGAGTTGAATTGAGTGCGGTTATGGTAAAACCATGACATCTGACAGTGAAGGATGGAAACATACGATAGAGAGGGAGGTGAGCAACGCGATGCACTGTGACCAGCTGAAGAGATACGTTGATCCAAACGTGACCACCAAAGACAGATGACAGGGAGTGATTGAGAACGCACGCGAGTTAGGACGGGACTGCTTGAGAGAACAGTTAGGACTGGACCGCTTGAGAGACCAGTCAGGAAAACTAGAGCTGTACTTCGTTTAGAAGTTATATATATTGAACTTGGAGTTTAGTTAAGAGAGTGATTAAGGAACTCATAGAGAGACATAAGAATAGCCAGTGATAAGATAATGAAGTGTTCTTATAATATTGTTATTGAATGATTCATTCTGTTTGACTTGATAAGTTTATTAATAAATAAACTGCTGTGTAATTGTTACATCACTGGCCTTGTTCTTGAGTACGATTGAAGAGAGCTACGAACTGTATCCATTCACTTTGGCCGAACTAGGCACATCTATTTCTTGGGGAATGTGAAGGCACGACTGTGTCACAAATGTTGGAAAATCCTAACTCTTCATGCTCCAGTTGACAGTGTTTGCAATAGAACAACCTTTTTTTGTACATGAAATTCAGTTATCAAGTCTTTTCATATATTTCACGCAAGCATGACATTTATACGTTTTTTTTTTGCTTCACAATCATGCTTCTTGCATTTATTCATGTGATCTGGCTATTCATATGTTTCCTAAACAAGGACTTCAGTCAGTACAGGTCAACCTATCTTCTGTTGCTGCCACACACTTTTCATGTACGCAGCGAGTATTGGCAGGAAGATTTCATGCCTATAAAGGGAAAGCTGGGAGTCTCACACTTAGCCGAAGATCGCTCAACTTGTATAATCTGTAAGAGAAGATTGCCACAATTTTAGAGATGCAAATATTAAGTTAATCTTGTGAATTGACAGTATCCGGAAGGCAGTATAGCATGAACAGCATCAAGGATGGATGGTTCACTGAGTTCAGCGAGATGTGGCCAGGACAGTGTATGTCTCTCCAAGTGGAAGAGGTTCTGCACAAGGAGAAAAGCGACTACCAGGACATCCTAGTATTCAAGAGGTATGCACAAAGCACTTCTTGTATATCTGATAAGTTACCTCTTGACAGTTGCTGCTGGAACATCAGTGCATATCCTGTCAGTTGTTTCTTAGATTTCTTGTTTTTCTTCCTTGTGTGTATAGAGACTTGCACTGTTTCCCATGAATCGGAAATAAAGACATGCAACCCTTGAAGCCACAGAAGATCATATATAATAAACAGACATGTATTGATTGGTACTCGTAGAATAATAGGACAGGTCAGACAATATAAGTCGAAAACTATAGATACTGTGTAAGGAATCGAGCCTGATGATTTGGAAGTGACAGGTTTAATCCTTGACATGGTAAATTTAGCTTATGTTATTTATTGTGTCTAATAAGTTAGTCATGCATATTAGGATATTTGTTTCTGCAGTGAGGTACTGTCGTCATTGGAATGGACAGGTTCCATTTTCGTACAGTTTGTGCTGGCAGGAACCTAATGAGGAGAGAGCCATAGAGCAAGAGGTATACCAAGAGCAACATGGGAAGATAACACCAGAGAAACTCTACAGCACCATGATATGTTCATGGTCAGAGCAGCCAAAAAAGCACGGAGCAGGGCCTTATATCTCCCTTGACGTGGTAAAAGAGGACGTGTAGAAGAAGTAGGAACCTAATGCCATCTCACAGTTGAACATCTTGCTAATGCCACTGTAAATTTTGTGGGGGCGGGCAGGAATCTTCTCATGTCTACTTAAGCTTTAGGTGACTGGAAGTGGTAAAATATTCCTACATATACCGTCACAGCAGTTGGCATAAGGACTCCTATTGCAAACACTCTTGTTCTTTCTCTTGCTTTTCCAGTAGTGTTGTTTTTTCTTCAAGCCTAATCTGTGATGACTCCTTTTCCAGTAATATCTGCTCCACTGACCTTTAACCACTGGCCAGAGTCTGAATAGACAACCATCTGCTGGCTAACCCTTCATTTCTTGATGTAAAACCTTCCATGTTTCCCAATATGTTTCCACTGGCTAATATTTTTTGTAAAGACTTTTTTATGTCGTTGATAAGGGCTGTTAACAAGCAGAAATGTGTATTTTTCTTTTGTTTTAAGATAGATAAGTAGTCTCCCCCTTTTGTTTCAGTAAAAGCTATGGCAACGTGCTGGTTCTGGACGGCATTATCCAGTGCACAGAGAGGGATGAGTTCTCTTACCAGGAGATGCTGGCACATCTGCCTCTTTTCTCTCACAGCAACCCTAAAAAGGTAAGCTAACTTGATGCTTCCGCCAACCCTGTCTCTAATACCTTTTGTGGCAGAGCAGACAAGGCTTCTTGTGAAACCACCTATGACTGGAAGAGCACGCTTGGTAATACCAGTTCAGAATATTGATTTTGTTAGAACATGCAGAAACATCTGCCGAGAGATAGGCTGTGACGGCTCAGCTCTGTCAGGTGAATTGATATGAGTGCGAAACACCCACAGTCATTTTAAAAAAGTTAATCTGCCAACACACTTCACACATACTGTGTTTTAAGAACCAGGCTTTGTCACTAAGTCCTTTAACATCTCACTTCTCCTTCTTACTTCTAAACAATATTTGCCTGCAGGTAAAATACTGTTTTGTATATTACTGAATATATTTTCATATTTTGCTTCATAACAGGTGTTGATCATTGGTGGTGGAGATGGCGGAGTTGCCAGAGAGGTTCTCAAACATGACTGTGTGGAGGAGGTCCATATGTGTGAAATTGACGAGGTATGAAGCCTTGTTTCATTTCTTTCATGAGCCTTATATGCTCCTCCTATTCTAACTTTTTTGGGGTCACCTTTTGTGCCCTGCCTGTGTTTTAATTTCTGTCATTTCTCTCTTTTTTTTTTTTTTTTTCTCTTCTCTGACCCTTCTCCTTGTCTGTTTATTTCACCTTCTCTCAGATGTGTTTGTTACTTTGAAAATAAACATTTTCCAAATCTTGTAGATGTCAGTGATGTTGATGCAGCTGAGATATTTTTTCTACTGCAAATTGGATGATAAGCTGTCAAACATCACAACTTTTTCGCAATAATTTTACTGTGCAGATACAATTTTCTTTACATCCAAAGTTCAGTACAGAAACTGATAGAGATGTATTTCTGTATCCTGATCATATATTATCTGTCCATGAATATACTTTCTCTAGCTGTTTTATCCTTGTTCCCCTATAATAATTTACTCCTTCACTCATCAAGCCACACGGTTTAGAATTATATTAAACAGCTGCTACTTCATATTTTTTGTCTGTTACTGAGTTGACTTGATTTGCGATTAGTCTGTGAGAAAAAGCCAGGTGCTCGAAGTCAGCCCTTTTGACTTACATAATCTGTCACGATGGTCTTATCTCTATACATATTAAGTATGCTTACGGCACTGGTTGATAGTTTAGGTACAACCGAAACAATCTATTTGATACTTTATATTCTAGAGCGTGTTTTACTTGCTCATATCCCTACCCCTGTCTCCCCCAAGCAGATGACCATGTGTGGTCAGCTATTGTCCACATGTAACAATCACCATGTGTGGGCAGCTATTGTCCACATGTAACAATCACCATGTGTGGTCAGCTGTTGTCCACATGTAACAATCACCATGTGTGGTCAGCTATTGTTCACATGTAACAATCACCATGTGTGGTCAGCTATTGTTCACATGTAACAATCACCATGTGTGGTCAGCTATTGTCCACATGTAACAATCACCATGTGTGATCAGCTTTTGTCCACATGTAACAATCAACGTCAGTATGATATAATCTCTTTAATATTTGATAGTATGAACATGCCATGCAGTAAATGTTGTTTCATTGACAATCATAGACCCATGCCTTGGGCATCTTCTGTGGTTACGAGAATGTTAAAATATTGTTGACAGCGAGTGATAGAAGCAAGCAAGAAGTACCTGCCTCAGATGGCCAGCAGCTTCTCAGACCCTCGGATGAAGTTGTACATCGGGGACGGGTTCAAGTACATTAGCCAGCACGAGGGGGAGTTTGATGTCATTGTCACTGACTCGAGTGATCCCATTGGTGAGTGTCTCATTCCTTGTTCTGCATCTGTCTGTCAGTTGTGTATTCTTAAAAAAGTTTTTATAAGGGTGAGAATACAGCCACACTGTGAGGTCATACGCTCAAACCAGGGACTACCTGGTTTGACTTTTTCTGATTATAGGAATGTCAGTGAAGCAAATTATCCTAGAAGTCCTGCAGTTAGTATTTTAGAGCACAATACATAACAGCATCTCCAACCAGAATTTAAGCATAAGTAGACTGAGGTCACTATAATTGTTTAAGCTCTAGCCACCTAAAAGGAATAAATTGTTTAAAAAAAAACATAGATAAGAATTGCAGTAGTTTGTAGTCACAGTTATACTTTTCTACACAGATCTCTAGCTTCCATATACTAATCAAGTTTCTGTATTATAGCATTTAAAGCCCTTAAATCGAAGTATTGTCTCTACCTTGTTAGTCACATTTCTCTTGCATTGAACCTAGGCATCATCCACAACACGTCGAAAACATAACATCCACAAATCATCTGCTTCTGGTGGACCCAGAAAGGAAAACATCAGGACTGTTATGTTGATGTAGAATTGGTCAGCCAGTATCTCCTGAATTTTGCTCAAAATTCATGTGATCTGGCACTTTCTTCTTCTTTGTCTACAACCAGTCTTTCTCCGTATGCAGTTTGGGGCTTTCCTGAAAACCTCTGATTTCTATCAATATCTCTACCACACCTCCTACCTTGCCTCTTTCAGGTCCTGCATCCTCCTTGTTTGAAAAGCAGTATTATGAACTCATGAAGAAAGCACTGAGGCCGAATGGCATTGTTTGCAGCCAAGGTGAGTGTTTCTTTGTTTTTTTAAACTTATGCCCAATTATGAGGTGTTGAGATAAAAAGGCTATCTGTCAGACTGATTGATGACTAAGAAAATACACCACTCCCTCCCTGGGATGGGCTCTGCTGCATTAGTTAGTTCAGTAGACAACCTCTAACGTCCTACTGGCCATCAGGCACATTAGCACGGGGGTTCCTGTAGGCTGGTTAAGGGTCTTTGCTCCATTAGGACATGAAGGAAAGAATCAACGGTAAATATAAGGAGTGTTTATTTAAAACTCTTTTCAATAGCTTTGATAGTTGGTCAACATCTGTGGTAGCCACAGCGAACACACCTTCGATGTTACAGTTAATCCTGCCACCCACATAGCTGCAAAACTGATACCATGTAAATGTCACCTTTGCAATTTAGTCACAAAGACACACAGTCATTGATATTGGCTAAGTCCGCACCTGCACAAACATTTAGAAGGCCAGGGCATGATTATAAAAATAAGCTAGGAATCTTGTAATAAGTGGTGTGTGTTACTTCTCGTTGTCTAGGTAGTGTTCATGCGTGTGTGGTGGATGATCTTCTCACACGCTCCACGTTACACAACTGGCACAAGCCGACACCGATGTGAGCTTACGAGACATGAGTTTTTTTTACGTATTTACACTTACACAAAAGAGGCCCAGTCGTTGTCCTAGTAAACAGCTCTCGTACCCAAACTCACGCAGCCTTCAACAAACAGTCTTCTTCAAGCATTCACTGACCAAAGTCGGCTCCCATGGATTCACGTTGAGGTTCTGGCCATCTCACACACTGGCATGGTCGATCTCGGCTTCACACTTCGTCGGCAGGGTCTCCTTTCTCCACAAACACTCTCACGTTGACATTCTCACTTTCAGTCGCACGTCCTCTCACTCCAACAGGTCGACACAAACTAAACTTGACCAGAGTCAAGTCTGACTTATACCACATGTTAGTTTCACGTGACAACACGTGGTGGTCCTTTACTTTTCACGTGGCGACCTTTGGTCGAATTCACGTGGTACCCGTGATAACTAGCGGTCCTCACCTATCTCGTTTAATCCGAGTATCTGGACTATCTCGGTGTTTTAGGTCAGCTTTGGGCCTAACCATCCTAATCTGGGTGAAAATATCCCCTATTGCAAATCTAAACATATTAAAAAATGTGAATAAATTTACTTGCTTTGTGTAAAAATTTAGTTCCATTTTCTGTTAGTGTTACCTTTAACAGTGTTAAGAAGATGCTATTATTGTCACACTACTGTTGGCTATCACAGAGTCATTTAATGTTTATTTCTGTGTTTACATTATTTCTGTGTTCACATCACTGCATCAATTTCCAGGAGAATGTATGTGGATCCACATGGATCTCATCAAAGGGATGCTGGAGTTTTGTGGCAGCCTCTACCCTTCTGTATCTTACGCCTACACAGCTATACCTACCTACCCCTGTGGCCAGATTGGATTTGTCATATGCAGTTTGGACCCAGTAAGTTATGTTTTTAAGCATCTTATTATTATGCTGTCCCTTTCTTCCTGTTTGTGACCATTTGAAAGTCAAGTTTGTACATCTCACCTATGTTATTTACATCTTGCTGCCACTGTTTTAATTTCCCACTGCTCAATTGTTATCTCACTATTTATTTATATCTCACCTGCACCTATTTATATAAGGCGCCTCCGCTCATCTGTCATTCACAAACTTACATCTAACTTTTTACAGTTCACATCTAAAATCTTCAATTTTAAACTAACCTTATGTGGCTCGGGACTCCCGTCATGGGGGGGGGGGGGGGGGGGGGGGGGGGAATAGACCCAATGCTCATTTTAACACTCATGTTGTAAAATACTACTTATTAGAGGGTTTGTTCTATAAAGTAGGAGTGCGTCTGCCAACAGTTACACATACTAATATTCATTGTATGTGCATAAAAGATTCAAGTTCTGGAACAAGACCAAAGTCCAGAAGTGGACGAACAGCCAGAACTTTTTTATCAGAGTTTACAGCCAGTTCACACGAAGAAGAAGAAAATAATCTCCTTCCACCACTTCTCTGTATCAGATCCCAGTTTAATTCTACCGTGTATTTCACTCACAATTTAACATCCTTTTTATATTTCACCTTCGGTATTGCCATCACCGAACTATCACCATCTTCATGGTTTCTTCCATCTCCCCAGGACACTGACTTTGAGAACCCACCCAGAGAAATTTCTCCAGCTGACACAGAGAGGCTCAACTTGAGGTACTACAACACTGACATTCACAAATGTGCTTTCAAATTGCCAGAATTTGCAAGGAGGGTAAGCTACCAATAATTTGCCTACATTTTTAAAAAATATTTTTTTTTCTTTTACTGGAAGTGTTTTGTTTATTTCAGAAACATGCATACATTTAAGGCTCAAATAACATGAATGTAAATGGTCAACACGCTGGCCTGACAACTATCAGCTTGAAACAACAGTGAAGATGTGGGAAATGTAATGGTATGAACATGCAAGATCTACCGGCCTTTCCAAAATGATACTAAAGGACATCAAGTACATTGCATGTGACTGACAATGCTGGAGAGAGCCGAGAGACAGTCAGCAAAAACTATGCAACTAATGGACTGTGGGTATGATTTATCTGAGAACTTAGCAGATTAAAGAACTGGGCAACAAATGGGTGGTAAGTATGATTAATCTGAGAACTTAGCAGATTAGAGAACTGGTGGCATCTAGGCTGGAGCCTAGATCTTATCTTCCTGACTGTTGTTCTGGACTAGGCATCTTTATAGTCTTAATTAGCACAATTAAGATACAGATATACAAGTTCTGACAGTTAAGTAATGATTTTTTTATGACCTAGACAAAAATGCTATCTATGAAGCAAAGCATGGCATCTTAAGAGGCATCATTCATCTATGATCTGGCAACTTTTCATTGCCGCTCGATAAGCAGACAACAAACAAGCAAAAATTTTGTTGACCTTTTCAGAGGTGCATTGTTATTTAATCAGCATGAAGCAAAAAGCTAACATTAAATTCTTTTTAAAACTCAGAAAAGCTCCACCGAGACGGTTGATGCAACAAGTTCATGGGGATAATTGTTTATCTTGTGCACAAATTTTCAGGTAGTATTCACGATTTGAAAGTGGTGTGGAAATGATTACTATAATGCGCCTAGACCTGGACGCTACATTTCTGTTCGTAATAATGGAAATTATTGCAAAAGTTAGAGAATGGATACAATATCATTGTTTTAATGTGAGGAGGATGGCAGATAAATCTGGTGTTAACATAAGATTTTAGTGCAAGATTTTGGCAAGAAAAAGGTTGCTTGTCGGTTTGTACCACATTTATTGTCTGATGACCAAAAACATCAGCGGGTTGAGTACTCTAGCGACATAATCGAAACAAGAATTTTGGGTCCAAAAAACAAGCGTGTGTTCTCAGCCGTTCACCCTATTCCCAAGATTTGTCTCTCTATATGATTTTTTTCGATTCCCAAAATTAAAGTTACGATTGAAAGGACGCTTTTTAAACGATATTGATGACATCCAAAGGGCCGTAACATTGTCTGTAAGGGCCATAACAGCAGAACTACAGAGTTCATTCCAGTGTTTGTTAGATCGTGCTACTTGCATTGTATCAATGCACAAGGGCTTTCTTCGAATAAAATACAGGTTTTACTTTTAACTGTTGATTATTTTAAGTTTTATGGGATTAGTCTCATTACTTAATTGTCAGGCCTTGTAGTGACCATACCACACCCTGTGTGCCTTCATTAATTCTCTGAACAGTTTCATGCCATTGCTGTGTCAGGCATATGTAATCGTAAAACTTTTGCTTGTTCCATAATTTTTAAGACTGGTCATATTGAGCTGAGAACTGACATTCCCATAAACCACCTGACCTCATCCTCAGCAGCCAGTGGAGAGTTCCAATTCACGGTGCCGGTAACAAAGTATATGTAGCAGTTGTACATTTGTTCTGAATTGAGAACAGGGTGGTTCAACTAGTGAGTGGCTTGTGGAACATTGCCACTAATTGACTTGGTCCATGACCCTAATTTTGGCCCTGGGGTAAACTGAGTGGAATTGTCCTAGTGAAGAGTGTTGGCCAAATTCCTCTGCTAACTCTATAATGATCTGTTCCCGCTTCCACATTGTGGTATTTAATTGCTCCCAAATCTGGCTGACTGCTTCTTTCATACACACTTCTGCATACCTCAGAAGCGGTGATTGTCTAGAATCACTCATCTTTCAATGAATGATGTGGTCAACATCTCATTTTTGGCTTAACGGACAACATGGTCAGCCAACAGCACACTGGCAGTCCTGGCTTCCCGTGGTCAGTAGTTTAGAGGCAGTCATGGAGTAGTGGCTAGATGCTCGCCTGCAGATTGGGAGGTCATAGTTTCAGGTCCTGGGACATTTTTTACTTCTAGGTCCTAACAACCTTGAGGGTGGGTGTCAAGTAGGAAGCGCTGAGAAGTAAAGGTGGCCTGCGTGAGCACTGACTACATTACCTATACTATATAGGTCTAGTCCTATATGCCCAACATGCCTTAAGGCGTGGGAAAGGGTATTTTACATTCATGGTGAGAATGATGATGATAGCTGACATAGTTGTCAGGAGGCAAGCTAGCTCAACTGTTCCATTATGTGACTATAATTCTCTAGTTATGGAGCTGTGGTAATCAACTGCTTACATATCTACTCTATTTGTTCCACGCAGGTTTTAAAAGGACAAAAGTCAAAGACCAGTAACTGCTGCTAAGAACACAAGCATTTTTGGATATTAGATGTTTTAAGACATTTTTAAGGGTCTTGTCAAAGAAGTTTTTGTAGCAAGGCATGTGCAGTTCAGACATCTTTTCTTGTTGCAGAAATGTACAATGTTTCTCAGTTTTTATGTGGCATTACAACATGAGAAAAGTACTTTCTTTGTTGCTTGTATTTTGACAATACTTACCACCAGTTTATGGTGCATATCTTAGTTTTATATTGTTTAGCATTCCATATCTTTTGTGTGTCATGTTTCCTTGAGTGACCCTTTTAATACCAGTGGTGCATCATGTATATGATGCTGTTATTTGAGACTGGACAACACTCGGTCAGTCATGTGATCAACGTCACACCAGCCATGTTTACTTTTCAGGACATTTCGTTAGTGTATTGTTTCATTGGGGCCTAGAATGGATAAGTTTTGCTTGTCCTATTTTATCTGTAACAGTTTTATCGTTTTTTTCATTGTGGTCAACTTTCAGAAGCAAGTCATTATTGTACAGAACTTTGTGATCTATTTATTACATTCAGTCTCTCTGCCGTCTTTTATCTCCTGTCCTGTTTTTGCTAAACAACCCCGCAGCTTGTGCGGTATTGGTTGAGAGTTGATGTTATCAAATGGCTTGGATACCTGCCTCGCACATTTGACTAGTTAGCTTCTCAGATAACTTTGTACTTTAATCTAAGGCAACATGAAAGCTGTTCATTCCGCATTTAGGGAAATTCCTCATGTTGTTCAGTTTAAACGTGGCAGGTGGCTGATTACATGGGAAATGACACACACTTATGCACTGCTGGCTTTGTGACTGACAAATGTGCACTGCAATTTTGGTGGAAGGCTTGGTGTTGGTACATCTGGCTGCTGTCTTGTGCATTTGCTTTGCCTGTGCCAGCTTCAAGATTTTTTTTAACTTAACTAAGGGGGGACGGTGAGGGACATTTTATGATTTTGAACTGGTATCTACCCAGACTAAGTAAAATAGTATAAATAAAGCTCAAAAGACATTTCTGAAAGTTGCTAGAATGTGTCTTTACGACTTTTGTTTCATGCCTGTAATGTTGAGAAAATTGTTTCATAGCTGGCTTTAAGCAATTGATGAATCATCACACATTCCTGCTGTTTAGCATGGGGAGTTGCTGAGTGCCATCACATCATGTTTTGACATGACTGATATGGTTTCCAAGAATTCTTCTTTTTCAGATAGAAACAGAGCAGGAGTTAACCTGTCTCATATTCTAAATCAAAAGGTTTTTTTTTTCTTCTAGGTATATGTTGAAATACAAAAGTGAATGTTGACATTCAAGGTTTAAACCCTAGTCTTTCATGTTGAAAGATATGTATGGACTCTCATAACAGTACAGATGTGTTCTCATTTACATCACTGTTTACGCTATTTTTGTCCTGTTCAGTCTATAAAACATCACTTAAAGAAGTGTTTTTATAGCCAGAAACAAAATATCAACCAGTAAGTTCAGGCAAAAGTGTCTCAACTAGCCAGGCTTTGTAGCAATCATATTCCAGACTAAAATTGGGAGCTGGTGAGGCTTTGATATTGATAGTACAAACTGGCAATAAGTATTTCCTGATTTTTCCTTCTAAAGAAGATGGACCTTGTTTAAGCTGATATTTATTCAGCTTTTATTTAAACAGATTTTAAAATATATTTTTGGAATGGCCACATTCTTGTAAATTTGTATCTTGTCCCGACTGGCATTATATAATTATGTTGATGTGCAGTTGATTCTCTTCTGTGTAAATAATTGTAACTTAATCTTGTGTCGAGGGTATTAAACTATAAGTATCCTTGCTGATCACCCTTGCTTGTTTTGCTTGTATTGTTGCTGTTTAGCTACCAGTATTGTAAACTCAACTGCTGTATTTCGCCAGTTTGTGTTCTGCATTATTCTTTGATCAGTGCTATTGTAACAATATATCAGTGGTGAATTGTGGATGTGCTGTTTCATTTGAGAACGTTTTACAGCTTTGTTCATTCATTCATTCTAGCCACGTAATGCCTCATATTGTTAGTTCAAGCTCATTCTAGCCACTTCATGAGCTGTTGTATTATGTAGTAAGCTCTCTACAATTTGTAAACTTATTCTAGCCATGTCATAACAACTGTCTAGCCATATTGTCTATTTTTTTTAGCTTATCCAGTCTAGACATGTTGTGAATAAATTGACATTATTTGTTCTTAATGTCATGTTTGTAAATCTAGTTCAGACAGACAATTATGGTTATGTATTCGACTAGAGTTTTCTGGGACACCTTAATGTAAATGATGTTCACTGAAAGACCCGCTACTTGATGGTGGTGATTAACCTTCTAAGTTCCAAACTTCAGCAAAAAGATCCATCTGGCCACCACCACATATAAAAAGGCATAGCAAACATATTTTCTATTAAGTGCAGTATAAGTGAAGAAGCGTACTGTTTTTGTTCTGTTTTATCTATGAAGTATTTGTTGGGAGCTCTTAAAGCCCACTTGCTCTGACTCTTTCATAAGTATAATTTGTTTTAGTTAAGCATGAACTGCCAGTTACAAGTGTTTATCTAAATAAGATGTATGCTCCATATTTCATGGACTTGTTATGTGCTTGTATAAACTCTGTTTGATTATCATCCGTATAATATTGACTTCTTGTTCTGCTGATTATTGTATATTGCATTAACCAATTGTAGGTCTTGCACATATATGACTGAATGCACTTGTGTGTGTGTTAAAGTCAGCATTTATAATTCTGACATATTTGCAATGTGTCCTTGTGGTTATTTTGTGGCTTGTGACCATCATCAATAAATTAACAAATGTGTAATCTGACATGAGCTCTTGCTGTAACTGAAAGTGTGTGTGTTGTTGTCCTTTCTCTGGCTTCTGTCTCCCAGCTTGAAGCATAAGTCCTTAACCCAAACCACGCCTTTTATAGACTGGATCATGTGTGTTGTTGTCCTTTCTCTGGCTTCTGTCTCCCAGCTTGAAGCATAAGTCCTTAACCCAAACCACGCCTTTTATAGACTGGATCATGTGTGTTGTTGTCCTTTCTCTGGCTTCTGTCTCCCAGCTTGAAGCATAAGTCCTTAACCCACACCAAGCCTTTCACAGACCTGATTGGCTGGATTGTGCAGCTGCACATTGCAGTATTAATTATGGGACATTCTTCTTCTTCTATCCTGTATCTGCCACCAGTCATTTCATGACATGTCTTTATAAATGTTTGTCACATTGTGCATCTCTGTACATTTAAATATTAGTACTATAAATGTTTAGAGGAGAGACGGACTAGCTGGCTGGCTTCCTTAGAGGTGGTGTCAAGGCACAAATGGTAGGGATATTTGAGAGCCATTACTCCATTTGGGAAGGGATGGCAGACGAGAATGGCTCATGCATTAATGTTCATTTTTTCACTGTGGGGAGGCCAGTTGCCACTGTAGGGTGGTAGTTGTTGCCTGTTGCTTCAAATTTGGTAAAACTGTAGCATGTCCTCTGATACATTTTCATTTCTGTGACTTCCCAGAACATTGACTGTTGCTGGCTTTAGGTTGAGACAGATCGGCCTGGTTGAGACAGATCGGCCTAAAACAGATTTGAGCCCTAGCTGTGCATTTCTGTTATTTGAAGAAATGAACCCTTTATGCCTCAGTGTGACCACTACAAAATACGTTTTTTAGCACAGCATTCTGGCAAGTTAAACACATCTGGATCAGCAAAAAGGAAATTGAGAATAGCAGAAGCTGAATCAACATCAGGTTCACCTTGTCCGAAAGTTGTATCCAGATGGACATATATCCTGTTTCACGGCAGTATTGATTGTATCCCTGAATACTTTAAGGGTCTTCACAAACTGAAGTTAAAAATACCAGGCAGGTGGTCATCAAGTGTCTTGTCTGACCAACTGGATTGGGTGGTCATTACTGGTGTGGGTTATTTTACTTCTTTGCATCTTGTGATCTCTAGGAGCATTATACAAATTTGTATGCTAACACTTTTTCCGTGCTGCGACATAGGGGTATTATGGGCATCGAGGCATAGCAACGGACTTGACCCTGTCTACAATATCCACTCGCAGAAATAACAAATGTAAATTACCGATAAAATGGGGAAGGTGGGGTGCAAAAGCAATTGCCTGTGTTTCCATGAATTCAAACGAGACTGATGATTGCTTTATCTGTAGAGTGACGGGTGGAGGCCGAGAAGGCTGGTTTATTTGTACAGCAGTCTAGCAAACTGTTGCATCTGTCTATTCTCATCCACACTGGAACATCCATTAGATCAGTATCTAGTTGGTAGATCTATCGATAGATCTGTTGTCATGTGTTCAAATCAACATCAATGCTGGAAGTTTTTCAATTTCAGTTCACAACTCCCAGTTCTGCCCAGCCCAAATTTCAAAGTAGAAAATCATTTTAAAAACCCACTTCGACAATTTGATGTACATTTGGCAAATGGTTTTTGGCTTTTACTTTTACAGATGAACTGGCACTTGTAACATGGTGTGGTCAATAACAGGTAGATATTAACGCTCTGATATGTGGTTTTGCAAGAGAATTCCTTAGACAGCCAAGAAGAGCAAGCCAGGGATGTTGAAAGAGGTGAGAGCTCGAAGACATCTTGTCACAAATGTCAGATCGCGATATAATTGTGGACATATTATGAGAAGAAAACTTGAACATGTTGTGACCACTGGAAAAAATTGATAAAGAAACCAGAAGACAACTTGAGATGATTCTTGACAGTCTTTTATCAGGGCATGACGGAGCGTCAGCACAAGAACTGATATCATTCTGTTGCAGGTTGTGGAGAACATGATCGTCCAGGCCTGTCTGCAAGGCACTTAATGATGATCTAGGCTGCTCTAAGGATCCAGGTCATTAAGACTCACCTCAGATAGTGGCTGGAACCCACTACCAGCGGGCTGACAGTTAAAAGTTCTTTCTGTTTTAATGCAGTGTTTATTTAATGATGTCAAAAACTGCAGCGTGATTGGTTGTCCAATTTCTCCAGATAATATTGGGAAGGAATTGTGGTTGGTGGGTACAATATAAACAGTTTACGTTATGCTGATGACACAGTCTTGATAGCAACAAGTCAGAAAGAACTACAGGAAATTGTGGTGTTAGAAAGTGGAAGAATGGGCCTCAGTTTGAATAATGGGAAGACAGAAGTAATGGTGGTATCAAAGAAACAAATTATTACTAAATGTGTAATAAAAGTCGATGGTGTTATTTTAGGACAAGTACATAAATTTAAGTGTCTGGGCACATGGATAACATCAGATGGAAGATGCATTACTGAAATAAGAAACAGAATTGGACAGGCAAAAACTGCATTTTATAAAATGAAGAATATCTTGTGCAATATATCCTTGTCATTGAGAGTTAGAAAAAGAATTCTTGCTTGCTACATACATCCAGTTTTAACATATGGATGTGAATCCTGGACAATCGGTAGGCAGGCCAAACAATTTTTAGAGGCCTCAGAGATGTGGTTTTACAGATGAATGTTTAGAATACCCTGGACAGCCAAAAAGAGCAACCAAGAGGTTTTGAAAGAGGCAGGAGCCCGAAGACAACTTATCACAGACATCTGAAGGAGACAGTCATCATTTTTCGGCCATGTTATAAGAAGAGGGAAAATAGAACATGTTGTGACTACTGGAAAGATATTTGGATAGAGGAATAGAGGAAGACACCGAGAGAAGATTCTTATTGCATGCCATGGAGGTGTGTCGGCACACGAACTGATACATGCTGCAGGAGATCGCAGATTATGGAGAGGCATGATCGCCCGTGCCATCGGCCAAGGCACCTGATGATGAGGATGAATATTGGGGAAAATCCGCTCCGATAGATCAAACACCGTGATGAATTTTGTGGAAACTTTCTGTTGAAATGATTGGAGGTTTGACCTACTTACCTGGCTGGCCCGTTGATCAACGGACTATCAATGTGGTTTACAGAAAGCGTTGGCTTCTAATGCTATCACATCTCCTGATCTTTTTCGCATTGAGAGTGTATGTCTAAGTTTGTCGGAAAAGGGCGGATCAAGGAGAATCCTGGAAACATTTCAGAGTCACCAGCAGAACTTTGTTTCCTTTCTTCATATATTCAGATGTATGCGGAAAAAAAATGAGACCGACAACGTTACGGCAATAGTTAACCATCAGATATGACGGCGATAAGTAAATATACTAGAAGTAGCAGAAAGATGGAGAAAATACTTCGAAGAGATCTTTAATCCCTAGAAAATGACCACCATAGAACAATTAAAGACTGCAAATAGCAACAGTTGTGGCAATTATAAGTCTCTCTCTCTCTCTCTCTCTCTCTCTCTCTCTCATGACGCGAACCCACAACTTTCCGATCCGCAGGCGGGCTTCTAGCCGCCAACGCCACTTCGACTCCTAAACGCTTAATCTACCACCCCCTGAAATATTTGACTATGTTGTGACCACTTGATTTTCCCTCTTTATGGTCGGCTAATAAAAAAGTATATCTCAATCTGCCCCCCTTTTGTAAATTCAATCCTCTTTTCTCTCCCTTATAGATATTTCTCGTCTATATATTTAAAAAAAAAGGAGGTCCAAGTCGAGAACAATGTCTGCATTGGGTATCAGAAACCTTAAACCTGCTGCCGTTTAGGCATGTGGCTCGTTGATAGGTTACTGACGATCTGTCACTACAACACACTAATGTAAACACTTACAGAGCACACACACACAAATCAATCTTTAATGCACAGAACAATAAACCTCAGGTAGCTAACCCCATAAACGATGCGTCCTCACTTTTCTAAACGCGGCCGTGGGGACGTTAAAATCACCATTCACTCCTGGGCATTCCCGTTCTACAGATAATACCTGGGCCGAAATCACTGTTGTTTCCGGTTCAAGCTCTTGTCTCTGCCACGAGACTCCACACAAGGACTGTGGCGAGTCTGTAAAAAGTGGGCCGATGTGTCAGGACAGATCAAGTGGCCAATTACTAGACTAACCCCGCTAACTCAAATACCTAGTGAACTTCCGGTTAAAATGGACGCTAGACAGAGGCGCTGTTTGGAGCGGAGGCAAATTTTTTGCTTCTGCCGGACGGTGGCCGAAGTATTTTTGCTCCATTTGTAGACTGGATATAGTTTCGTCGCCCAGCTTCTGAGTTGAATGCATGGCGTGACCCTGTGAGCTGCGGATTGCATTTGGAATGTTTTTTCGACTGTGACCAACGTGGTGTGAATTGTAGATTCAGAAAATGGCGCGATGCCGGTCGTGCAATGCTGGCGGGACCCGTATTAAAATTGATCGCCCGGGCAACTGCTGATCTGTTGGCGACAAGTTCTGCTATCATCAATGATGAACTACATTTCTAATGTTGGACTGTTTGTTAGCACTTCGGATGGCTACCATATGCGTTAATGCGAGTGTATGCTAGATATGCTGAGACAGCAGTCTGTCAATCTTTCCACAAGGGACTGTGATAAACATTCTGGGTGTTTTTCGCTGGCACAGGAGCGGAGCAAAGATGGGGCGACCCGTTTGCTATGAAGCTGAAACTCAGACTACCAGACTACCCAGACCTAGTGAACTACCCACATAAATAACGGCCTAAAATCTAATCTGACAGATGGAGACGGTTTTCGTCGAATACTGTACTAACACTACTGTCCAGCTATACATTATTACACAGGGTATCGGTCGCTATGCTTAAATCGAAGCACACTATGGTTCTAATGGTCACAATCTAACAGGAGTCATCCCAACGTCTAGGTACGGAACTCCTCGTTCAAGTCCAAACGGTCAATTTTGTAAGCTGTTGCAGCTTAGTCCAAACACCTCGTGGTTTCGTTAGCAGTCAACTCGTTCAGTCACAACTTTCTGCTAGCCTCGGTTCGTGTCACTGAGCTACACGTTATTTCTTAGTTACTAAGTGCAGACACGGACATTCACTATCATCATACTATATATCCCCATAACCACATTGGACTCTGACGTCCACCTCTCCTCTGTAATGATACTTGTCATCGTCTGTAACTAAGTATGTATCATATACTCCTGATTTTATCCCATATGACCCGGTCTGTCTCCGCAGTACAGCTTCTCATAAAGCACGAACTCCGTAGCTTTGGTGACGATCCACGTGGATCTCCGTAAAAATGACTTTCGTGAACTGAACGACGCGTCCCTAAAACAAACCCAGGACCTTCAGAGTGCGACACAAACAGCTTGGCCACGGAGGCCTAAGTCGTTCTCTACCTATCTCTTCCTCTACTCTACCCATCCCCTTTCCATGTTTCCCCCTCGTTCCCACTTTCGTCACCTTCCCCACCCCCTCCCTCATTGACTATTTGCGCGCGTGTGTGTGTGTGTCTTTCTCTCTACTTACGCAGCTACCTCTTTCTTCTGTCTTAAATCAAATCCCTAACTCCTCTACCTACTTCTACATCTCTTTCCTAGCTGTGTCCCCTTTATCTGATTTTCGGTACTTTATTTTTAATTCACATAAAAACAAAGGAAATTCCACAGTTCCCGGAAGGTGCAATATTTATAGTATTTAGTATTCAAATCCTCTCTCTCACTACATCTCCCTGCTCTCTCTCCTTCTCTCACCACACCTCCCTGCTCTCTCTCCTTCTCTCTCTCTCTCACCACACCTCCCTGCTCTCTCTCCTTCTCTCTCCCTTTTCATTAGATAAATTGAAAGAGAATATCTCGGTGAAAGGTTTGAGAGGTTCACATCTGCCATTAGTGGCAACGGTTAATAATTTTAACAGCAAATCTTTTTTGCTTTTAACAGCACCTCACCTAGCCTCTTTAGATAAGGGCGAAAAGCATGGGGTATTGTGTCGAATTTACACAGTAAACAAATTCACGCAAAGAATTGGTCGCAAGCTCAGGCAAAGTTGAAAAGAGTGAGATGTATATTCTAACTTAGCAATCTGTAAGACAGACATGCGTCATAAGTCGGTCACACAGACGACTAAGGTCTCCAGAAGAAATATTAGTATGAGTGAGATTCGAGAGAAGGGAGAAAACACTTTCTTAAGCTTTTAGAGTTTCTATTGCAAAAGCCCCATTTGAGAATGGACGAGGTTGACTTGTATAACATAAAAGTATTTCAAAGCAAAATATTTCATATTTAACAGTATTGATGAAACACAGAGAACTATAAACTGAAATCCAATTGCAGACGACGTATTGACAGATAAATCTTAGTGACAGAAAATGCCAGAAAGTCTGCTTTGAGCAGACTTAGTGTCTTAACAATGATGAGATACAATCTGATCCCAGGGCCAAATGGTGCCAGTATTAAAATGATTCTGAAACTAACAACTGATGATTAATGACAGCAAAGGTAACTAAAAACATGGCAGATTTTGCAGTTAATTTTATCTGATATTGAAAAGATGAATGCATACATTACAGAAGGAAAATCATTTGAAGATTGGAGATTATACAAATACATCGCTGCTTTTTTTAAGTATGCTAAAATATGTAATATTTGTCCAGTCTTGAATTCTCTAAAATATATAGTTTTAAGGATCATATCTCTCTTCAGATGTGCTTGCATCTGCATTCACATTGATCTATAGAACTGAATTGCCATATCCTTGGGGAATGTACCAGCTGGGTAAAGATGGTAGTAGTTATATCCTTGGAGAGCAAATTAAGATGTAATCTGTATCATGATTCAGCCTAGCACGTAGTCTGAGATGAGACCTGTGTTGATCATGATTCAGCCTAGCACATAGAGTCTGAGATTAGACCTGTGTTGATCATGATTCAGCCTAGCACATAGAGTCTGAGATTAGACCTGTGTTGATCATGATTCAGCCTAGCACATAGAGTCTGAGATTAGACCTGTGTTGATCATGATTCAGCCTAGCACATAGAGTCTGAGATTAGACCTGTGTTGATCATGATTCAGCCTACCACGTAGAATCTGGGATTAGACCCAGGTTGGTAAAGCTTCACACTCATGCTTTAAATATTACATTGTCCGGCTGCAAACCAGTACCAAAAAGTAACTGGACAAGATAAACACATTCAATGAGGTTGCTATGACTATCAAACAGGATTAAGAAAAAAACTTTCTATGTATTTTGTTGTCCGGACCGCACAATATGTGGGTAAATGCGGACAATACATGATGTGGGTGAAGATGGACAATACAGAATATTTTAATAGATTTTATCAGCAGGACTAAAACAAAAGTGATTTAAAACTTTCACTCTTTTAAATTTACCATGAAAAAAATTACAGGAGAATTCGCCAGAGGTAGACATTAATACTAGTAGGAAGGAGTAGATTGATAGCTGAAGTTGTTGGTGTCTCTAAGACGGTCATGGCCTCACAAAGATCAGTTTCATATTCATGCCAAGGCAATACAGAATCTTCATGGATTTGAGTGTCTCCTGATGACCACTGATGGCTGATCATGCAAAAAGCAATAAAACACTCTTCATCTTCTACTTTGTTTCCACCTGTGGAACCAAGATCATAGACTTACATGTGCCAAGGCTTCACATCTGTTGTTCTTTCCGGCAACTCTCTCCATGTTATTCATCCATCCTACAGAATGTTATGTCTTTTAATGTGGCCAAAATAATTCAGTTGTCTGTTTTTAATTTTTTTAAAATTTCTTCAGTATGTCTTCACATCTGACAGAACATCGAAAAAAAATAAAGCACATCCCAATGCCTACTCCCTTAAAAAACAAATAGTGGTTGTCCATATATACCAGGCCTATTCTGATAAGGAAAAACACACACACACTTATCTACCATGACTAATCAGGGTTGGCATTTAAATGGCTACCGGGTGTGCAGAAATCATTGATGCAAAACCTGACCAGTCACTACGTTCTTTTAATAGGAGTAAAGAAATCAGTCAACCAGGATCACAGAAGTTATTCTTCTGTAGAACCGCAGGGAGTCTGGATTGCTGATTTACCTTCTTATACACGGATCTCAAGTTAGAACTATGAAAGATGGCACAGGATGTAGGAAATAAAATCACTAGAGGTTCGGGTGGAAGTGCAAAACAAGTATTCTGTGCTAGTTGTGGGTGCTCCAGTTGACGACCATCTAGCACTCTGCATTCTATCTGTACTAATTCTTGGCTGCACAAAAGACACCTTGTGTCATGTCATGCGTTATGTCCTGGGTTTACGATGGTGACCACCAAACAAGAAGTCGCACAGATGAAGGCACACATGTAAGTCTCAGGAGGAGACAGCCACCTACTGCACAGTTCTGTTGATAACGTAAAAGCGGGGTACCTGAAAAGAGGTCACTCTAGGATGGCCAAAGCTGAATATATTAAGCAGGTATGTCATCTGGACAGGCTCAGACATTGAGAAAAATGGACGGACACACCGGTGGACATCTGGAAACACAGATGGGTCTGTGAAACATGGGTCAAGATCATCATGGGCATACACAGCACAAATGATGGGGAAAACAATAAAAGATATTCCTGGAGATAGCCACTGCTTTCATAGCACTCACATAGCCAGCAGAACAAGCAACCGCAACCACACATGCAGTGATCATATCAGATTCCATGAAAATGCTTCAGAAAATCGCAACAGTTAACAAGTGCTCTGGCTGGGTGATAATATTTGGAAGTCATACTTAACCTCCCTCACCTAGATTTGTACACTTGGGTGTATTAGAGTAAATGGTGATGTACAGGTGGGCTAACTGGCAAGTACCGCACCACTGCATGCAGGAAGATGCATGGATAGAGCAACTGTTGTAAATCCTGAACAGACTAGACAGGGAGATAATAATGAATCTCTGATCTGAACATGATTGCTTGGAGTCGAGCATAATGAAGCATACAGTGCCATTTTTTAGGTCAAGAAAGGAGACATTATTCCCAGCTCCTCACAGGAACAGTCAGTAGAGGTGCCTGGGAGTGGCTGCTGAATGGGGGGACTGAGTATGCCTGGGAATATCCAGTCTGTAGTGACGTCAGTTTTCATTACATAATATGGTAAATATTTTATAGTATCCCCCAACTTCCAGACAGACACACACGCACCCACTTAGATTCTCTAGTGGGTCTGTATGGTTTCAACACCAGTTCATATAAAAAGTCAGACTGTGTGTGGCATTGTGTTCTTGTTGCAGTTAAAGACTTTTTCTATAGCAGCTTTGTTTGGCTAAATTTAAATTCTAGTTGAATCTTGTTTATCTCCCCAGCACGGCTGGAACGACTGGTGCAGTGCTAACATGCCCTCTGGAGGTGGTCAAAACTAGACTGCAGTCGTCCAAGTCATCCTATGTCCACGTGAACGTGCACACCGCTCTACGACTCCTGCCCCCACAACAAGTGGTCGCTATCAGTGCCCACAACTGTCACGTAGCTGTCAACTCCGAAACTTGCTTGGACAGGAGTAAATACGGGTCAAGGCAATCCCGGGGTTTGATTGTTTGTCTGCGGTAAGTCTGAGATAACTTGTTGATTGTTTGTCTGTGGTAAGTCTGAGATAACTTGTTGATTGTTTGTCTGTGGTAAGTCTAAGAGAGAACTTGTTGTTTGTCTGTGGCAAGTATGAGACAACTTGTTGATTGTTTGTCTGCAGTAAGTCCGAGATAACTTGTTGATTGTTTGTCTGTGGTAAGTCTGAGATAGCTTGATTGTTTGTCTGCCATAGGTACCCCCAAATGATGTTACAATAGGAGCGGAAAAAACAAACTCCAAAAGTATCACACACATTTCCGCCCCCTTCCCCTCCCTGGTTTCCCCAGCAGTTGTGCTAGTGATCAGAGCTAAACGGTTCCAAAACACTTCCTCTGTTTTCTGATTGCTGAGAGATTTTTAAGATGGATACCTACAAACATTCCATCATTTCAAGATTAGGCTAGCCTTCAATGTACTGCAGATTATACAACATTCTAAGATCACATCTCTAGGGGAACTCAAGCAACTGGAGACTACAGATAATTTTATGTCAGGAACCAGAATGGACAACTGAGAAAAAATGCTGCAGTTTATAATTGCTGGGCAATGAGGTGTACTTATTGCTGACTGATGTCAAGGTCATCTCTGACATTTGTGTGTCAGTTGTAAAACCATCTGGCAGGGGTGACTGTGTACACTGTGTGTGCACATCATCTCCTAGTCTTGTTTGTGCTCTCCATCTCACTTAAAGTTGGTTCCAACTTCTTGTCTTGTTTATGCTCCTCATCTCACTTAAGAGTTTGCACAACTTCTAGTCTTATTTATACTTAAGAGTTTGCACGAACTTCTTGTCTTGTTTATGTTCTTCATCTCATCTGTGTTGAGCTGCAAAATGTCTTTCAGTAGTTCCCATAACAGTGATTACTTGGTTGTTTTTTGTTTTGCACAGAACGTAATGAAGTTCTGCCTAAACTTGATTTGTTTTAGCTCTGTCTCCTTTTTTTTTTTTTACTAAGGCTGAGATAAGTTAAGAACCCTTTTGACAGCACTAGAGACATTTCCGTAAGTGCTCCAGTTCTCATTCATGTAGTGACATTACCAGTCTCACTGTATGTCCATCTCTTGCCCACCCGTGACCGTTGACTAGATCTCCTCGTCACTGCCCCTTGACTCATTTTCCTCAGATGATGATCTGTTGGTAGAGTCCCTGTGTTGATCTGTTAATGGAGTCTATAGCCATTCCATATAATGATCTGTTGGTAGAGTCTATAGCCATTCCATATAATGATCTGTTGGTAGAGTCTATAGCCATTCCCTGTAATGATCTGTTGGTAGAGTCTATAGCCATTCCCTATAAGGATCTGTTGGTAGAGTCTATAGCCATTCCCTGTAATGATCTGTTGGTAGTCTATGGTCATTCCCTGTGATGAGTCATCCACTGGATGATGATTGACTCTTCTGCCTAAGTCCCATTGATTAACTGGTTACCCTTCCGGGTCACCAGATGTTGCAGTCTCACTCCTGCCTCCACTGACTGCAGTCACACAATCCCCCATAAGCCCTTATTCACATCATAAACACGCGCACCTTAGTTCTCTGACATCACACAGAGAACAGTGTTTTTGTTTGCCACATGTGACATGTTATTAATGAATAACATTAAATAATTTAAGGTTCACCATTCTACCCAGTTGTTCATCTCTTTATTTCCTCTTTCTTTCATTCTCTTTTTCCAAATACTATGGAACATAATAAAGTTTGTTCATTTGTTCTCTCTCTGTCTCCTCCTGTTCTCTACCTTCGCTTCTCTCTTTTTCTCTGTCTTCCTCACTCCCTCATATCCTCACCCTCTTTTTATTCTTACTTAGTCGCTCCTCTTCTACCTTGGGATGTAGAGGTTTGACAGAAAGATCGCCAGACGTCTCTATCAGTTAGTGACTTTCAGATGTCTTCCCAGTGAACCCCGGGTTGCCCCGGATGTCTGGTTCCGTGGTTCTTAGCCTGCCATGATGGCTTTCTCCCATTCTGCATACATCTAAAAGGTACCATTATACAGTAAAACCTTGGTAATACAAACTCATTTAAGAACACTTGGTTTAAAAAAAGGTCACAGTGTTGGTCCTAGCAAGGATGTATTATTCACAATACATCTGTAAGTCCCTGGTGAGCACAATACACCTGTAAGTCCCTGGTGAGCACAATACATTGTAAGTCCCTGGTGAGCACAATAAACCTGTAAGTCCCTGGTGAGCACAATACACCTGTAAGTCCCTGGTGAGCACAATACACCTGTAAGTCCCTGGTGAGCACAATACACCTGTAAGTCCCTGGTGAGCACAATACACCTGTAAGTCCCTGGTGAGCACAATACACCTGTAGGTCCCTGGTGAGCACAATACACCTGTAGGTCCCTGGTGAGCACAATACATCTGTAAGTCCCTGGTGAGCAAAGTACATCTGTAAGTCCCTGGTGAGCACAATACACCTGTAGGTCCCTGGTGAGCACAATACACCTGTAGGTCCCTGGTGAGCACAGTACACCTGTAGGTCCCTGGTGAGCACAGTACATCTGTAAGTCCCTGGTGAGAACAGTACATCTGTAAGTCCCTGGTGAGCACAATACATCTATAGGTCCCTGGTGAGAACAGTACATCTGTAAGTCCCTGGTGAGAACAGTACATCTGTAAGTCCCTGGTGAGCACAATACACCTGTAGGTCCCTGGTGAGCACAATACATCTGTAAGTCCCTGGTGAGCAAAGTACATCTGTAAGTCCCTGGTGAGCACAATACACCTGTAGGTCCCTGGTGAGCACAATACACCTGTAGGTCCCTGGTGAGCACAGTACACATGTAGGTCCCTGGTGAGCACAGTACATCTGTAAGTCCCTGGTGAGAACAGTACATCTGTAAGTCCCTGGTGAGCACAATACATCTATAGGTCCCTGGTGAGAACAGTACATCTGTAAGTCCCTGGTGAGAACAGTACATCTGTAAGTCCCTGGTGAGCACAGTACATCTGTAAGTCCCTGGTGAGCACAATACACCTGTAGGTCCCTGGTGAGCACAATACATCTGTAGGTCCCTGGTGAGCACAGTACACCTGTAAGTCCCTGGTGAGCACAGTACACCTGTAAGTCCCTGGTGAGCACAGTACACCTGTAAGTCCCTGGTGAGCACAGTACACCTGTAAGTCCCTGGTGAGCACAATACACCTGTAAGTCCCTGGTGAGCACAATACATTGTAAGTCCCTGGTGAGCACAATATACCTGTAGGTCCCTGGTGAGCACAATACACCTGTAGGTCCCTGGTGAGCACAATACACCTGTAGGTCCCTGGTGAGCACAATACACCTGTAAGTCCCTGGTGAGCACAATACACCTGTAGGTCCCTGGTGAGCACAGTACACCTGTAGGTCCCAGTACCCGGTGAAGCCCTGGTGACACACCACCCCTGGTGAGGCACAGTACACCTGTAGGTCCCTGGTGAGCACAATACACCTGTAGGTCCCTGGTGAGCACAATACACCTGTAGGTCCCTGGTGAGCACAATACACCTGTAAGTCCCTGGTGAGCACAATACACCTGTAGGTCCCTGGTGAGCACAATACACCTGTAGGTCCCTGGTGAGCACAATACACCTGTAAGTCCCTGGTGAGCACAATACATTGTAAGTCCCTGGTGAGCACAATACACCTGTAAGTCCCTGGTGAGCACAATACATCTGTAAGTCCCTGGTGAGCACAGTACATCTGTAAGTCTCTGGTGAGCACAGTACGTCTGTAAGTCTCTGGTGAGCACAATACATCTGTCTGGTGAGCACAATACATCTGTAAGTCCCTGGTGAGCACACATTTTTTTAAAAACAAAAGCATTTGACTTGTCAGTTCCTAAAATTTGTGTTAAATTAGTTTTTTTTAAAAGCTGTTTTTGTGTTTGTAAATTCCAACACACATGGTGAGCATTGTATGAACAGCACGTTTTGTTTATAAAGCATCAACAGTTTATTTTATAATCTTACATGTAAATATACGTCAGTGAAAATATTGAAACGTTTTTGTAAAAGATGGATACTGACAGAAAGTTTTCTTCTCCCTAGTGTTTGCTTCAGACTGGTCACCCAAAGACAAATATTCATTTTTAATTGGCTATAAACTTGTCCAACAGGGAACCGGCTATAAACTCTGTTCTAACAAGGAACCGGCTGTCTTTTCTTGTTAACACAGACAAATCCTCAAATCTGATTACGTTAAAAAGTATTGTTACTGTAGAAATCTATAATCAGATTCTTTTTGTGATTTTTCAGACACATTGTTCAAACAGAAGGAGTAAGAGGATTATTTAAAGGTCTTGGTCCCACTTTAGTCGGAGTAGCTCCATCTCGGTGAGTTCTTTAGCTTAATTAACTGTGATACTTGTGTAATTAACCTTCAAACACTGGGATTAGTGTCCGAAATTTCCTTGTTTGTAATAATCCAGTATAGATGATACTTGTAAAATGTTTGTGCATGTATATTTTTGTCAGCCCCCAGCCTTCCGCTGGAGCAATGTCAGTTTGTTGTAGAGAGTTGTAATTTAGCATTAATTCTTGAATAAACCAATGGGAGTTATTAAAAACAACTATCTAAGGCAGAAATATGATCACTAACAGTGGTCGATGACTCAGTGACTAGCACAGGGTGAATTAATGCCTCAGTTGTCTGTGGCAGAAGGAGTGAACATTTAACTTTAATATGTATCATTGTCAGATTAGTGAAAGAGAGACTGGTGTAGGCATTCCTTTTCATCGCTGCAACTTTCTTCAGCTCTTTGTGAGTCAGAACCTGCATGTTCTTACGTTTGTTAAACCTACATGAGCTTACATGTTTTTTTTTAACCTACACGGCCTTAATTTTTTTGTTAAACCTTCTCAGTTGTAAATATTTGTTAAACCTCCAGGTTATTAAACCTGCTTGTTCTTACATGTTTGTTAAACCTATATGTTTGTGAAGTAGTTCTCTCTTGGACACCCTCTTGTTGTTGTGGCCTGGTATTTATCCTCAAGTATGTTCACTAATAAACGTTATGTCTCGTACTATGACTCAGCTAAATTATCCTACAGTGGCAGATTTCAGTTCATCCAGGGTGTAACATTAGTTGTAGCAGTATTTGCTCTGGGAGGTTGGTCGATTGATTGCTTGTGAGTCACCTGGATACACCCAGGTCAGGATTTGGTATATATATATATATATCATTCATTCATTTAGGTTGAAAGATTTTGGGTATTTCGTCAATCAGCAGACTCTATCCAAACCGATGCCAAGACCTACTTTTAAGTAGTAGACTTCCGTGTCTGACCGTGCCAAAACATTTTTGCTCTGATACACGTTATGAAATTGTTTAGTTTAGTTAAACATAGGTAGTCTGATAGGCAAATGCTCAAAGGTAACTTGTCACAAACATCAAAAAGAGACAGTCATAATTTTTTTTTAGTCTTGTAGTGAGAAAAGGAAAACTGGAACATGTAGTGACCAGTGGGAAAAAGAGACAGGGGAAGACAGCAAGAAGATTCTTGACAGTGTTTTGTCATGGCATGTAGGGGTGTCAGCACACGAACTGATACACGCAGTTTGCAGATCACGAATTGTGGAGAGGCATATTCGCCCACACCAGTCGGCAAGGCACTTGATAATGATGAGTCTGAGCTTCTTCATCTTCACCAACTATGAACTCTGGTTGTTGGCCTTATTCCACAACCTGAGCATTGCGCACACATCTGTTTGACACATCTGACTTTTTTGTGTGCAGACTGTTATTTCCTTGGCCTATCAGATGGCTTTGAAGGAAGCCTCCAATTAGTTAACTCTTACAACATGCTTTGTGTATAGACAGTAGCTCTATTCTTGTTTTCCCCAGAACTGACATGGGCAAGTAGTCTAATCATATTCCAACAACTTGAATGAGCTGTGACCCCTTTAAAGTTATTTTCCAAACTGCATTAATTTTGGTTTGTCAGTGGTTCGTGGTAGCTGATGAGTTAATTATTTCTTAGTGCAGCTGCGTCCCTGTGTCCCCTTACTACCCACTTGTGAACGGAGTTTTATGTTGAAGATCGCTGTAATAAGTCTTCAGCAAGCTGTTCCATATCTTTATTTATTAGCTTTGTCTGTCTGATCCATGCTTTGTTGCCCATTCTTGTGTAACCTTGTCTTCCTTTCTGTCTCTTGTTGTCGCCCACTCACCTGGATCATTTTCCTCGGCACATACTTTAACAAGATGCTTAGTCTTTGTATTTTCTGACCTTGATCTCTTTCAGTAAAGTTTCTTACATCCTGTTTTGTAAAACAATGTTTTCTCTGCTACCAGGATATTCTTCCCATTCATCTATACCATAATTTCAGATTTCTTGAGCTCAACATTTTAAAGTATAATTTATAATTTCCATTCTGCAATTCATATTCTTGAAGTATGGTTTATTTGTCTCAGTATAAGATACATTATCTTTCATTTTTTACTTAGTCGCTCCTCTTCTACCTTGGGGTTTAGAGGTTTGCCAGAGAGATCGCCAGACTTCTCTATCAGCAGTTTTCTTTCTGGCTTTGTTCCATTCCAGTCCTCTGTCAATTAGGGACTGTCGAATGTTGTCTTCCCAGCGGACCCAGGGTCACCTTAACTCGTTAGCCACCAGAATAAAATGTATACTGAAGCAGTATCAGTTCTGTCTATCGCACACCACCATGGGTCATCAACTATTGACTGTACATCGAGTGTCACATGGTTTGTTAGTATATTTTCCTTTTGGTCTGAACAACCAAAGAAATCTGGTGAGATATTTTAACATTCAGCACATATTATTTTGCATCACTGAAAGTTAAACACGAAACATCATTTTGTTTTTATGGTAGAATGTGTCTTCTTTGGGTTTCTGCATTGAACTTTTCTGAAAATATGAATTATTTTTATCTTCGGTGAAAGTGATGAGGAGGTTGTGAGATGTGAAGAAGCATGGTTGTTGATGCTGTTAAGAGAAAAAAGCTATGCATTTGTTTTTGGAACTGCTAGTTTAAAATTGTTTGATGCTGGCTATTTTTTTCATTGTTTCTTGTTAGTGGTTGATTTTGTTTTATTATTTGCAGTACAGTTGTACTCTGCTACAGACTGGTGTGCAGTCTTATGTCTTTCTGCCAAGACTTTGACCTTTCTCTGCCAGCGTAACCTGCTTACACAATCGTGCAATTTAAGTTCAGTAGATAAAAGTATCTTATGTGAGAAAACACTTATACTGTGTGCCAGAAAGCGAGTACTGAAAGTTATATCAAACCTCTTCTGTTTTTTTTGGGGAGCTGAGTCAAGAATTGACATCACAGTACTCAGGGCATTCTCATGTGTGCTCCGTCCTTATCTTCATCAGCCAGCACAGAGTTCCAATACTAATGGTAAAGGCCACAATCTGGTTAAATGTCCCTCTTGCCTTTCCTCTGAGTGTAGTGAACCGGCCAGACCCTCTGGTTACACCCAGGTGCCTCGTTCTCTCCAGGGCATAAAAATAATCTTTCTGTGCTGATTCCGTTGCTTGTTTTTTGTTTTATGAAAGATAATCCTGGGTTTTGAAATCAAAGAACTGTAAATATTTTCTGTGTCTATGGTGTTTCATAAACAAAAATTCCCATTAGCTGCATAATTCACCTCCAATTTTCTGACTGCCGGGAGATTTCTAAGATGGATACCTACAAGCAATCCATGCTTTCGAGTACATGCTAGCCTCCAAAGTACTACAGATTATACATTCTAAGATCACATCTCTGGGGGAACCCAAGCAACTGGAGACTACATATAGTTTTATGTCAGCAACCAGAATGGACAACTGATGCTAGAGTTTATAATTGTCATGTGACCAGGTGTACTTGGTGTGCTCTGATGTCAGATCAGATCTGACGACAAATTGGAAATTTCTACTACCTTTTATCCTCCTTGAAATATAGGCCCTTAACTAACTCAGGACGCCACACTTTGTGGCAGCCATTGCTGACTGGGCTTTCTCCACGTCCTCCCCATATTCATCTATCTGGAATTCTCATCTCTACGTGTCTTTAATTTATTTATCTCTCCATCAGCATTCTGGTTTCTCTTTTACTGCTGTTCTAGCGCTCCCACATGTCTCTGCAGCACCCGCCAGCCATGACTTCTCTTCTGTATTTGCCCTTGCTGTGGCTCTCTGCCGGTCGGTCGGTACATATGTGATGTTACTTGTGCAGCAGCATTTTTGTGTGGTTACTTGGTGACCCAGGTAGTTAATCTTTTAGCGGTTAATTCTCTTGACCTGTTTTTTTGGGGGGGGGGGGGGGTGTGCTTGGTTATCAGCATGTAAATGTTCGCTTGAGCGGTGTCATCAGCCGAACAGTTCTCAATCTTTTTAGTGGAAGGCCCCGTCTGAGTCATTGACAGATATTATATACTGTTGGTGGGTGGTATTGATTATACTTGGTGTCCTTCCATCGAAAACAGCGGTTCTCACACTTTTGTTTTTAATTGTGGCTGCCTTTTGTCTCTTTGAAGTCTTCCATTTTTAATTCTCACTGTTTTGTTACCTGCGACTAGATATTTTACCACCAAGTGTAGTGGATATTAACCAGGAGAAGCTCTGGGGTGCCGCCTATGTCAGCTTTTGGCAGCAGGGATTGTAGATCATAGATTAGTTTCCATTATTGTGTTTCTGATAGTCTTGTGATAGCTTCATTTGTGTAAACCTCATTGTCAGCAGTCAGTGATTCCATCTGCCTGGTTGGATTTACCTGATACAATCATGTAGTGCTAGAAATTTAATGGGAACCTATTGGCTGTAGATGTTGGGAGTTTGTTTGGAGGCAACCTTCAAGGTTACTACCAGGGTTGCTGATAGTATTGAGAATTGTACACTGTACTGCTGGAATCACTGGAATGGATACAGTTCTCTTCCACTTAGGCTGCATGAGTGATTTGGTCATACATTTTATTTCTGTGTTCATTCAGTACGCTCATCAGCCGTTGCTTAGTTTCTTGTAGTTTTCTGATGACAGTTTGGTCGAACAAATAAAGAGCAAGCTTAGAGGTGGTGAAGTTGTGGTTTCAGAGACAAATGTTGCAGATTTCCTGATAACCAATAACACATATCGAAATTGTTAACACATCTGTAAGATAGAGCAACTGGTTTCTCTGTTTGGTCGTGTTGAGGGAAGTCAGTTTGGAATAACATTGTCATGACTGGCAAGATCTGAGTCCTATTGAGCAAAATTTGTTTAGAGGTCGGGATATGTTCATTAGGATTGGTTTTATGTAACACGCAAACTTATTTTTCTGGCATCCCACCCCAGAGACTTATTGCAAGAAATGCTCTGTATCTTTTAAAATTCGAATTATGTTCGTGCG